TCCTTTCTGAACATGAATACTTGTGGGAGACTGCAGGAGAGGGAAAAACAAATTCTTGGGGCCTGACATATGCAGGCCCCAGGGCCACACGCCTCTGGAGTCAGGGTTTACAAAGGCCAATTTTAGTGCTACCCCATACTCAGAGAAAATGAGACTATTTCCCCAGATGTTAAGATTATTTGTCCCAAAAAGAACAAATAAAGAGCAGGGGTCTCTCGTGGCTGAAATTCACCGGCCGTGTAGGTGAGCAAATCTATACTGAGTTGAAGGCCACACCTCTGGGCCTCATCTGAGTCCCTCCCTCCCCTTCCAGGGGCCCCTGGCAGGACCCTCCCTGGCATCAGACTCCAAGATGAGGGTCAGGGGAGTTTGAACCCTCTTCCTCAGAAGCTAAGTTCTCAGGAGGCAGCCACTCCATCCATCATCTGTGTCAATGAGACTTCCCTGCGTTCCTGTCCCACTACCATTTCCAGCCCTCAGTGGTCCCTTGCCCCAGCACAGGGCCTCACACACACAGGTCACCAAGCACCAGTGGCTTGGGTGCCACTATGAGACTAGGATCCTACTTTGTTCTCTCCCACATTATAATTTTGATTTTAACCTAAAACCTAAAGTATAAACTGAAACTTAATGTGTGTGTTATGGGTTGCCTTGTGTCCCCACGAAAGATACGTTAGAGTCCTAACACCCAGTTCCTAGGAACGTGACCTTATTTGGAAATAGGGTCTTTGGGGATGTAATCAAGATGTCATTCTGGAGTAGGGTGGGCCCTGATCCAATGACTGGTGTTCTTAAAAATAGATGAAAATTTGGACAGAGGGACAGGGAAGAAGGCACTGTGAAGAAAGAGGCAGAGATTGGAGTGATAAATGCCAAGAATTGCCGGCAACCACCAGAAGCTGGAAGAGACAAGGAACCATCCTCCCTGGAGGCTTCGGAGAGCGCATGGCCCTGCAGACACCTTGATCTCAGACTTGAAGGCTCCAGCACTGAAAGAGATTCCATTTCTGTTGTTAGAAACTACCCGGTGTGTGGTAGTTTGTTGTGGCAGCCCTGGGAAAGTAATATAAATGTGCCAGAAACTTCTAGGCATTTAACCCTTTGCCACCACCCTAGGAGGCAGCAAAAATGCCTATCCCTGAGCACCGCCCCGCCCCCCCCCCGGTACAATGTCCAATGTGACTAAGTAGGCAGAGAGCCAGGCTTTCAGCCTGGCCCGCCTGGATCACAGCCAATGTTCTTAACTAGGAGACCACACTTACCCCTTCTGCTGTCTGGATAAAATCACGGCCCTTTCTGAAGCTTGAGAGATGATAGAAATTTAGGGTACCTGCTAGCAAGGCTGAAATAAATAAAACAGACAAGTGCTGAGGAGGACTGTGAAGAAATGGGAACACTCATACACTGCTGGCAGGAATGTCACAGGTTGTGGCTACTTTGGAAACAGTCTGGTAGTTTCTCGAATGGATAATTATAGTTACTGCATGATCCAGGAACCCCACTCCTAGGCATACACACAAAATAAATGAAGATATATGTCCACACAAATGACTCGTGTGTGAATGTTCCTACTAGCATTACTCACAAGTACCCAAAAGTGGAAACAATTCAAATAAACAAAGTCAACAGATGAATGGATAAATAAAATATGATCTAGGCATACAACAGATTATTTGGCCATAAAAAAAGGACAGAGTGCTGAACACACCACATTAGGGATGAATCTCAAAAATCTTACACTGAGTGAAAGAGGCCAGACACAAGAGACTTCACATTGTATGACTCCATTTATAGGAATGGTGCAGAAAAGGCAAATTTATAGACAGGAAACAGACCAGTGGCTGCTGGGGCTGGGAACAAGGGGTAATTATAAATCGGAGATCTTATTGGGGGAGTGAATGTTCTCTAAAACTGATTTATGGTGATGGGTGCACCACTCAGTAAAGTTACTAAAAAAAAAAAAATCACAGAATTGTATATTTGGAATGGGTGAATTGTAGGATATGTAAAATAAACCCTATTTTTTAAAATTTTAGGTTTGAGGACCTATACAGGTTAAGAGCCAGCTGGCTTTGACTATACTGTCATTTTAGAACAGAGGCATGACACTATGTAGGTTCTTCCATGATAAAGTGCTTCGCTTTATTTATCACAACTTTAGCTGCAGAGAAAAGCCAGAACAGCTTGGAGTTGACACAGTGCAGGGGCTGAGATCAAGCCATATTACCTGGGCACTGAGAGGCTAGGAAGTCACTGTCCCCCTTCTCCAGAGCCTCTGAGAAGTTGATTAGGAACCAAGTAAGTAGTGACATCTTTTCTTCCTCATCCTAACATCACCTCGGACGCAGCCTTCAGCCTGGTGACAGCGACTCCTCTCTCCCCAGCCCCAGCCTCCCTGCAGGAACTTCTCGGCCCCAGCAGGCGGCCCACGGCTTCCCTGCTGTTGTGATTCTTGCCCAAGAGCAGATCCAAAGAGGCACCGTGGTGAGCGGGTGGCTAAGCGGAGCCCCCCAACGGAGCTCTCTCTGGAAATGTCTTTTCAAGTACCTTGCAGGGTATGCAAACCCTTCTCCTAACTCCCCAGTGTGCTGTCTGTATCCGTGACTCCCCTTCTAGGAGATTCA